TTCCGGGAGCTTTTCGTCCGTGGCATAGTACATACTAATGAATCAAATGGCAATATTTTTGCCTGAGATTTTGCCTAGAAACAGACCTATTTGTCAGTAGAATACTCTGAAAATTTCAGCTCAACACAATATTTTCTTCTGGAGATATGAAAGTTCTAAAAAACAATAACTATTAGCATTTTTCATGGAATATGAATGATTTTTGCGACTTTAATATCTCAGGAAGGAAATATTTTTCTGAGCTGAACTTTTCAGAATATTCCACTGACAAAGAGATCTGTCTATGTGCAAAATTCCATATCAAAACACCGACATTCGATTTGTTGGTATATTCAAGCAAGAATCTAGAATTCCTGCAAAATGTCTATACTTTTTGTACAGAAAACCTTAGGGAACTTATCTTTTTGGGATTTTTCATATATTACTGGATTCTCCTTTATGCACATAGTTTGAATTCAAAAGTGAATAATCAGTTGATAATGTTTGCTTATAAGAGAGCAAGTGGAAATAAATTTATCAACAGTTACTATTACGAATTGCTAGTGAACTTCGATGATTTTCCAGTCGAAAGTAAGATTGTTCCTTTTTTCTAACGACTAATAACATATAATATCTTTTTCTAAAAATAATTATGAGTAATGTTTTATAGGACATGAATGATAATAATTGTCTGCCGATGGAATATCATTTTTCATTGCAAAATTTATTAAATCCATGGGAAAAATCTTCCGCTAATCAGACAAAAACAGCTTAAGAGTTTAAATAAATCAGTAATATTGAATATAACTTTTATTGAAATAATGTATAACTTCTCTGTAATGGACACTCTTCGGACTTTTCAAGAGTATCCACTATAAGAAGATTAGAATTTTTTCTAAAAGCAAAGTTTTTTTTTGCAACGAATAGACACGTTTTCTAGGTATCTGAATGTTAGTACTGAATAAAATAATTTGTTACTTCTCTTTTCATGCATTTTTCTTGAAAAATTAACAGTTGTTAAAATAAAGTAAAATTTCCCTGTCGTGGAAACCATTTTGACTTTTCGAAAGTATCCACCATAGAGTTATATAACGATATCAATTATACGGACGCATCTACAATGAGAAGTTTTGATGTATTTAAAAGAAGCTAGCAAAAGAATATTCTCTGTTAATGTTGGTTTTTCTTGACACATTTTCTCATTTTTGTAGGAATACAATCGATCATAGACGAATAGTATTTTCTTTGAGTAAACATTGAAATCATTTCGACAGTTTCAATAAGATTATTTGATCTCTTAATACTTTCCTTTTCCTTATTATAAAAATTATTTGTCTATCGACGGCCAAGCAGACACAATGTCTCTGAAGATATGTGACAAAATGTGTTTGTCTCTATTTAATGTTCAAACAATACTATGAAAGTAATTCTTATATAGCTCTGACTTTTTTTTTCTCACGATCTTTGCTCAATTAGAAACTATTAGTTTTAACATGAAAATTAAAAACAGTTCTCAGAATTGAAAGCGGTGACATCAAATTATGAACAAAATATAAACATCCTTGCACACATTTATCAGCGTAAATGGAGCTAGAATATCTTCCTAATATTTATTTTAAAAACTTCCGGATAGTATTCAACATAGTTATGCGCTAATTCCTAAATAGCGATTTTCGAAGATGATCCTTTTTAATATTGAGAATTCATTATTATGTCAATTTTATTATAACAGTTCTGCTCAATTTTATTGTTTCGTTCGCTGCTTTCATTAGATTTTATCGAATCTAAAAATCGAGGTTCAGAGTTGATTGAAAATCCTGAGTTCTAAGAAAAGATTCGATAAATTCCAGCTAATTCTATAATCTTTTCTCTTTCAACTTTTCAACGAAATCAAATCATTGCATCGGATAGAGTATTTAAAATTGAGCACGACTGACCATTAATATGTGGGTTCTCAAGACTGCAGATACGTTACTTTTGAATGGAAGCTCCAAGAAATAGGTGGAATCAGTCGAATTTTCTCTTAAAATTCGTGAATTACGACCAATTCTGAGCCTCATGTTTTAGATGGGTGTGAGCAAAGTCTTCTCTGAACTCACATCCATATCTCAAATCATAAAACAGAGTTTTACTGTGAATATTCTATAGTAACGAACTTTTGGTTTTCTTTTTATTTATGAATAAAACTTGTGAAAAATTCATTTTATGTAATCAAATGCGGTGCGTGTGGTAATTAATAACATCTTTTTATTATTTTCGTTGTTGTGAAGAGATTTAATTTCTTTTTCGTTTCTTGATGATATTTTATCTATTACGTATTATGTATTCATAATTCTTGTTCTATTATTTTTTCACCCATGCCAATGTAAATTATTTGTAATAGAAGATATCAATTGGCTGTTGTTTGATCATTGATATAACACGTATCAGTGAAAATCGTAAATTACCTTTTCTTAGAATTAATTAATCAATATTGAAAGCAAATTGTAACATACGAAATAGACAGATTATAAAATTCTAAGAATTATAATGTTAGAAGACGATCAGTTGCTTGTCAACAAGATTTTGGAAGAAATACAAAAAAGATCAAATGTCTCGGGTTTTACGAAAAAGATCAATCGGAACATATTGTTATCTTTTAAATAGATAATTATACTATTTCTTTGTGGAAGTAATAAATATGAGATAGGAAGACGTTTATGCCCGTCTGTATAAACTAATTCAATCGAAATACTAATTGCTTCGATGTCAAAACGATCTATGCTGATATATGAAAGAGATAAGGGTTTTGTCCTAAATAGTTTAAAAAGTAGGTTAGTTTCATGAGAAAGACTTAAAGAAGTTGAGGCAATGATCTAGACTTCTGATTTTTATATTGTGCAGAACATGAAAAAAACTGTTGAATTCATGTTCTTCAATCAGGAAGAATCTTCATTTTTTGTTATCCTTACGTAAGTCGAAAAATGGGAAAACAAATCTTATAGATATATGAAAACTTTTTGATTTGTCGTATATCTACTTTCCGTTAAAATGCATCGAGAGTTGACTCTCTTTTTATGTATTCGTAAGCCTATTTTCAACGTACAAATGTTTTTATGCTTCTGATCTAGCTCCATCATATGATTCGTATCGAATCTAAATGAAAAACAAAAGTGATTAAACACATATGAAGATTTCTTTATCAGGAAATAGAATAAAGCTATTCACACTTGCATATGATCTTTTAATGCTCTACAACAAAAATTTGAGAAATACATTTGAATTACATTTTATAAAATTTATTGTCTTAAAATATAAATTGAAGAATTAAAAGGAAAATGTAATACAAGAATATGTAATTGGAATCTGACTCATTCTTGAACTTCTTCATATATCTTATACATTGTTCGTAACAGTTGGCGTTCTAATTTTTCCTGTTGATATCTTCTTGTTTGAATATCTATTGTCAATGTTTAATATCAATCCGTATTTATAAGCATATGGGCCATCACGTAAAACATCTGCATTATATCGAGACCGTGCAAAATTATGATTGATTGCACTTTATAAAAAATATTTTTAGTCTAGTGTATTCGTTCTATCTGTCAAGATGACCGTATAAGACAGTTAAATTTTAATTATAATCCGATCTTTTAAAGTAAATATTTTTATTGCATAAAAGTGCATTATTTTCATCCTAAAGCTCAAAGTAATAACCATGACCAACGACTAGATTGACTTCAGAAACTAATACTAGATATGTTGGATCTTATATGCTGATAATTAAATCCTTTAATATGAGATAACGAAAAAAATGCGCACGAAATAAGAAAATCTAAGTTTTACTTCGATAAACAATTTGAAAAAGGTAAAACATGAAAGAAATAACAATTTTTATTTTATTCATAAGTACAACTTGTTGCATAAACACCATGGCGTAAAGATCGCATGTATGGCGTTGGTAGTAAAACTACTTGTATGTATGCAATAATGACAATTAAATATTTCATGATTGCCATACTGCCTGTAATTATTTTTGCCAATTTGCCGATATTGAATGTATGAATAATCATATAATATCGTTACGGACTGATCTTTTGCGGTAGAAGTGAATTCAACTGAAGTACATATTTTTGAGCATTAATTAAAATAAGCTATTCTGATATGGAATACTTGTGCTCTTTTATTTGAAACATTAATGTACTCAAAACGAGCGTAGCTTAACAAGATTAAAGCATTGAAAGGACTTTATGTCTTGTAATCAGAAATCGTAATTTAGCAGATAGAACAATTACACGCTTGATAAGAATCTATTTCAACACTGCTCTTTTTAAGGTCAATTTGAACTATCCAGTATGTTTGTTATCTTCCTTCCTTTTGTAATCATCCTTTTAAGTGAAAATCAGGTTTCGTTATATCGTGTGCAAAGATTCGTTGTGCGCATTTTCCTTATACCCTTTGATATATAAACACACTTTACAATCTTTCGCAACATTGTCGAAAGATATAGCACGATCTTGAAAATCTTTAGGAATTATTAATTGATCTTCTCTTATGTATTTGCCTGTTTTACTTTTTTTTTATTGTATATTTTGGTTTTGCAATAGAAAAATTTTATTAAATTTATAATCGAACAAAACTCATTCAGTGGAGCTTGGAGAAAGAAATAAAACTACAAGAATTTAGCTCTAGATGTTTAATGAATTAATTTATTTAATCGTCACAGATACTCTAGTTTATAAAGGATTTTTCTTTTAATCGTTTTAACCAAAAGATTCTAAATTGTTGTGATGAATTGATACATCCAAAGCAACTTGATTTTATCATCGTTCATTTTATTCCTTCCATTCATAGATGACTTCCTTCTGTTCTTTATAAATTCAGAACCCGAATATCACCCATTTTTTACTGACATAATAGTCACGAAAAAAACAGAATAAGTATTATATGAAAATTATATTAAGAGAAAATAGAAAGTTAAAGTATTGGATTGCTCTTCTCATTTTGACGTGCAATATTTATTCCGCTCACATGTAGACATATTATTCATCAGAATTACTATGTCGATTTCGTAAAACTACGAAAATTGAGAAAAGAGTAAGACAAACAGTAGCCAAAAGTAAGAATCCAGCAATGATAAAAGCAATAATAGCTGCCGTGCGCCATCTTGCTAATTCATCCATTACTTTCAGTAATTCACTTTGAGAACATCCAGGAGTAGTACTTGAAAATGTTGTCGTTGTTAAGCCCGTTGTAGTTGCTGTTAATTCCACTACTGGTCCCATTGTAGTTGTTGTTAGTTCCACCACTGGTCCCATTGTAGTTGTTGTTAATTCCACTACTGGTCCCATTGTAGTTGTTGTTAATTCAACTACTGGTTTCATTGTAGTTGTTGTTAATTCAACTACTGGTTTCATTGTAGTTGTTGTTAATTCAACTACTGGTCGCATTGTTGTTGTTGTTAATTCAACTACTGGTCCCATTGTAGTTGTTGTTAATTCCACTACTGGTCCCATTGTAGTTGTTGTTAATTCAACTACTGGTTTCATTGTAGTTGTTGTTAATTCAACTACTGGTTTCATTGTAGTTGTTGTTAATTCAACTACTGGTCCCATTGTTGTTGTTGTTAATTCCACTACTGGTCCCATTGTAGTTGTTGTTAGTTCCACTACTGGTCCCATTGTAGTTGTTGTTAATTCAACTATTGGTCCCATTGTAGTTGTTGTTAATTCAACTACTGGTCCCATTGTAGTCGTTGTTAATTCAACTACTGGTCCCATTGTAGTTGTTGTTAATTCCACTACTGGTCCCATTGTAGTTGTTGTTAATTCCACTACTGGTCCCATTGTAGTTGTTGTTGATGTTGTTGTTATTAATGATGTTGTTGATGTGGTATCTGATGTCGTTGTTGTTGTTGCGGATGTTGTTATTGTCGTTTCTGGTGTCATTGTAGTTGTAGTTGTTGTTGTCGAATCGACTAAAATGAGAAAGATTTTGTTTTAATACATCATAAATCCGTTCGTACATGGTGCAGTATTCGTAAATTGCAACACTGCCGGTTCAAAACCACTTTTATAAGTAACAAATGTGACATTATATGATTGCCCACTAGTAACTTCACATTTAACATACATGATTGACATTACTTCATAATATTCAAAAGTATAATATATTGACGGACAGTAAACATATATTCTTTCAAAACCTTTATTTGGAGGACTCCATTCGATTATAACTGAACGAAAAGGATTAAAATCAGGAGGATAATAATGATTTCTATATTGACATTTTTGAAGTACTAAAGAAAAGCATAAATTTAGAAATAAATTTTTCATTTTATTTTCACTTACATGTATTCGCCTGAATACTTCTTAATCGTTTAATAGTATCATTGAGATTAACTAAAGACATTGCAATAATGTAAAGGGTACCTTCTTCAAGTGATTGACATTGATATCCATTGGAACGAATATCAATTTGATGGAAATCATCATAAGAACCACATTGAATTTTATATTGAAATAAATTTGATATTAATGAATTATTATAATTCCATTGTATTACTATTGTATTTTCTGTTTTATTGAAAACATCAAATAATGGTATGTCAGGTACTTGTTCAACTAAAATAAATTTAAAAAAAACAAAAAAATGAAACAAGCAATAGAAAATTACTTATAAATACCATTAATTTCTACAACAGCTATTCGATCATGTGTATAACCAGGAATAGCTACTCGAGTTTGAACGGCAATAGTACTTATTTCATTAAATGTTGTTTGTTGACAAGTATATGTTGTATTTCTACTAACTTTTCTCATTGAATTGTTACTTGAATTACATAAAACAATAAATTCAATAGGATCATATAAAGAATGAGTATCGATCCAGCTAAGTATGATACTATGAAAGTCTTCTTGTATACGAAGATTTGTTACTTCATATGGATATGAAACATTTGATACTAAAGACAAAAGAATACCTACGTAGTTTTAATAAAACATTTCAAAACAAAGTACTTGGTATTGTTGTCGAATTTGATAACGCATAACCAATTGGATTGAGAGTATGAGTAAAAATAATTTCATGTTTAAGATTAGGTATAAGACCATACTTGAATGTTAAATTTGGATAAAGGTTAAAATTGGATACTTTTGTTCTTTCATAGGTAATACTTTCATTTTTTTTATCATGAAATATTACATTAAATTCATATATACTAGGAAGATTTATTGTTGCTGCTGGATTTGCTATGACAGTAAGTAGAAGCGAATCGAGTGAATGTGTAAATGGAATAGGGAAAGGAACTAAAATTAAAAAAAAATATTATTATTTTTATTAATTAATTCGTTGTATTCAACCACCTTCTTGGACAATGTGAGTAACTGCTGGCTTAAAATCTTTCTTCATAGTTTTCAATACGAAACTCATAAGTGGCATATTTTGTAGAAATGAGCAATCAACAGTAATTATAGAGTTGTCTAATGGTGTACTAGTGTTAAATATTATGTATGATTTTTCATCCGAACAATGAATAATAACATAATCGAAAGATCCTATTGGACGTTCGATACCTAAACGAACTCTATCACCGGGTACATTGATATACGCTAAAGTTGGTGGTTGTAAATCTAAAATACAATTTGAAAAAATAAGCAACATAAATTATTCATTGTCATGCCTGTGGTATATACTATGGAACAAGTTTCTAAAGTACCATTATTATGTTGCATTCCAACAAATATTTGACCGTCTTGTCCATAACCGAGTCCAGTGCAATTATATACATGCCCATCAATGAATTCTACTGATGAATTTGCTGTACATTGAACTGTTCGATTTAATCTCGTTATATCAGATGATGAAAATATTATTTGTACAGTATCATTTTTTACTTCATGAGTGATATTATAGTCATCGCATGGAGCTAAATAGAATAAATAGGATTTGATAAATTTATTTTTAAATAATGAATGAAAAAACTTTTTGCTACAAATAAAATTTGAATATCTTTAAAAAATTGAATTTACTCGCAACAATACTTGTGACTTGAAAACTTAATGTTAACAGTAGTAGAATTATGGTGCTAGAAATTAGCATCTTCGTCATAGTGAAAGCATTTGAAAATAATAAGAACTAAGCATATAAGGATCAAACCGGATATTTATATATGTATATAATTATAAGTATTATATACACATAAGTCATTACGCATGACAGAAAAAAGTGCTCTGATTATTGCTAATATTGATCTCTTCTCACTTTTCATGTCTTAACGTGCATCGGTTTATTTGCACATTGATTTATCAATGAAGCCAATTCTTTTCTACACCTAAAAATTTTTGTTTTTTGTTTTCTTTCGTAAGCCAATACTAGTTGCTGTTCTTTTCAATATTTTTGTGCAGAAAAAAAAGCAAAATTGTTCTTATACATATTTATAATCTGATTTTCTTGTGAATAGAAAAAGATCTTGCAAGTCAAACGAGAATCCGGTAGAGAGAATATTGGATGACGAAATCACGCTTCTCTCCTCTGCAAAAAATCTTACGATTCTTGAAAATCAAATCTGATTCCTTCTTTTTATCACAGAATAAAAATAATATTATGGGTAATTAAAACTGCTTCTTCCGCTTTATTCTCATAAATTCATAGTACGTACTCGTTGTAATTTTATTTTCACAAATTTTTTATTTAATTCAACTCTTCACAAGAATTTCAAGTGTTAAAGAAATAAACAGAACAATAACATCACAACAAAAAACTTAAAGTATTGATTAGATTAATAAGAAAAAAGATAAATTGGCATTCATGCTGTAATTCTTTTCAGTTTCCTGTTTTTCTTGATAGTTTATCAAGATTCCTTTCATCATGAACTCCAGGCAAAAAAAATTCTGGCTGATTAATCAAGAAAAACAGTCTAAGTCGAACTCTTTTCTTCATTTATAGACTTTAAGATGTATCTATTGCTCATGATTTTTTTTCCATAGACAAACACCTTGAATCATGCGCACAATGAAATTCACTCATGCGCTGAACTTATGAGTATCATATAAACGGGGATGTTTGGAACGATCAACTAGAATAAAATAATAATAGCTACTTTGTTTGTTAAGGACGAAAGAATACTCCTTGCCATGCAGAATATGTGAATCTAATTACTTATGTAGATTCTTTTTTGATCTATCTGTTACAAGTTTTTAAAGAATCAAATCATTTGAAATATAAAACTAAAAAGTATGCATAAAATTTAATTAAAAATTGATTTCATGCATTACAGATATTTTTTCCATTGTTATGGCACATGACAAAATTCGATGATGTATTATTAGCGCTAGCTTGCAATCGGGAGGAACTTATACTATTCATTTGTGTAGCTCGTACAAATTTTTTATTCACGCAGTATTCCATCTATGATCACGCTTACACGCTCTTGAACTCGTCAAAAGGCCCCAAGACATTGTCAAATTGTGTGGCCTTGTTGTCTAAAACACTTAAGTAGTTCATGCGCATGAAAGCAAATATTTGACTAGGAAAGAATTTGGGAAGAATAGAAGCAAGAATATCTTATTTAGTTCTTGCTCGGTTAATTTTACATTAGATTATGCAACTTTAAATACAATTGATTCATTTTTTTTTCAACTAATAACCTTAATATTTAAGCTTAATCATGATAGCTGATGCTTTCCAATTTCTTTTATATATGATGAAATACAAAACTGAGTTGCTATAGGAAGTTGACGAGTCTTTCTATTATTCCATCATTCAAACTCTTTGTCTTAAGTGTAATTGCATTCTAAAAGTATTCATTAATATATGAGGAAAAAAAAGCTTTGAGAACAAACGTAAAAGCAAAAATCATTTCTGATATTAAAGATATGACTGTCTCAGACTTTATTCTTATGTTGATGTTATTTAATATTGCTTGCCCACGTCAAATTCGATTGATATCAAATTTTGTACTCACCTGTAATGTTCCAGTTGATAACGTCACAACAACGCTTATATCATTCGAGAATAGATCATCATGTGATGCATGTATTTGTACTGCACTTATGTCAACATATAATTATATAGCTATCAATTGTTATTAAAGTAATCATAGCTGTTTACTGTTTTCATCATCGGCCTTAGTCACTGGTATTACTTTATCTGAAAGTAATTCTTTATACATTTTATCAAATATGACGGAATCAATTGGTACAGGAACAACTGAATTAACGTTGCCACCAACTACAACTGTATTAACAAGCACCGATTTAATTTCTAATCATTTGCCGGACTCTAGTAGCTACTTCTTGTTTACAACTACTGCCATGACTGATATGACAACAACCATAGAAACTATCACAACTACACCAACTTCGACTAGCAGCATAATAACTCGCATAGCCACAGTCGTCAGCACTAGTAGGAGCAGTGGTACACACAGCACATCAACTCAATTAGCCACCACAACTAGTTGCTATCTTGATATTCTTCCTGGATATATTGTATGTCTTAATTAGTGCTGTCCTCGTCTTAATTCATATTCTGATTGTAGAAGTTTATTATTTGATTGTAAAATAGAATATTTTAGTGGGATACTGTTGTGAAAACAACTCACTTAAGAAATGCTACGTTTGATTTATCTTTCGACTTTTAAAGATTGATAGAAATAATTGATCCTTCATGGTAATTCGATAAAGTTATATATCCTGAATTAGCGAGCATCTATCTAATTGTAGTTCTTTTGGTTTCAGGATCTGATTAGAAATTTAAAATAATCTTAGAGAAATTCTCTAATCTTTGCATAATTTAATGTGTAACGCATCATTTAACTCGAAAATAGATGATTTATTACACCGACAATTAACGATATTGAACAATATACTTTATTAATCGTAACTTTAACATGTCATGTTTTCAAGTGATTTACATAAGAGTTATAAAAAATTACAAAAAAATAATAGTAGTCGCAAAAGTGCCGCTACTAGACAAAACATACTTAAACTTTAATTCTTTGGTCTCATAGTTTGACCACAAATAGAACATGTTGAACTCTGACCCTAAGAACTAATCAGAACTTAATCGACCTTCATGCAGAGGAGGTAGAAGGTCAATATAGATTTTCTTTTTAGGCGAAGATATCTCAACAATAGAAAATATATCTCATGACATTATACCCTTCATTTGATAATTCAGCGTTATCTCTCTCATCAATAAAAGTTTCATGTTTATTGGCTTGATATATTAAGTAATCTTTGGGTAATCTCCATATGAGAATTAATTGGCGTTGTCGAAAAGTGATTTACATCTCGGACTAATTTTAACTATTTGCTTTATAGCTTTCTCCAATGGATGTCCTATTCAAATCATTTGTTTTTAAATTACACCGTCGCAGTCATCAATGGAAAGTAGACTCATGTTGAGACCGTCACAGAAAATGAAGGCCTCCGGTGTATCAAGATTACATTGAATCAAAGTACCGTATTTGTAACACAATAATGACATGCGAACTTCTTGTTTATTAATAAGAAAATGAAGGTTAACGGATTTGAATAGTAGAAAACCAGAAAAGTGGCCAAATATCCTCTCGCTTTTGGGCCTTATGGGAAGAGTCAGTGTTTTCATTGTAAACCCTTTGCATTAAGGTCTGTCAACCGCGGGTTGCCGCTTGCATTCAGAGTTTACCGATCTCTATTTGCAGTTAAAATATCAGGCAAAAGGATTGAAGTATATGTACTCTTTACTCGATAGCAGAACTTCTTGCGATTACTGTATACATAGGCGGCGGAGCAAAGTAAATTTAGGGGAGGCTCAAAAAATAAATAAAAAATTGGAATACGAGCGTTGAAAGGTACTAAGTAATTTATGGAAGTCTTTACATTTTCATCGAGAATCCATAGAAGTATTAACTATATTACTTTTCATAATTTTGCTCACAAACATTTCTTTACATACAGTGTTAGGGGAAAAAACTTGTAATTACTCTGAGTTCTTGGNCATGCTTCGCAAGCTAGGCTAGCTTCAGACATTTTTCTTCTTTCATCACATTGATAGACTTGAGTAGTGCATCACAGCTTTTGTAGAAACGCTAATAGTTTTTGCCGCCTCCGACAGCTAATAATAACATTTTCTCAATCAAACAGACTTAAAAAACATCTTTGAAGTAACATGCAGTTTCATACAAGTAAAAATTGAATCATACATTATCAATGAGCTGTAACGGCCATTCTTCGTTACAAGTGAAGAAGAACTGTACGAAAAATCTGAGACAGATTAACTAGAATCTACACAATTTTCCTTCGCCTTTTTCGACTATCATTATACGCCTCTTAAACATTTTCTAGAGTGAAGAAGTTCACTATGCAACATTTTTTTTGTAAAATATTTCTAATTCGCTACTAAACTTGTTTTCGGTAAAGTAGATCAAGGTCTCTTCTTTTGAGGGCCGTATTTTGATGAACACAAACGTCTTCATATTTGCTCAAACATGGTTTTTCGATGAAAGTTGAGAATTTTTTTCTGATCTCCACCACTGTTACATGTTGCAAAATGTGAGTTCGATACAAGAGAGGCTAACTGTATTTAATCTAAGTGGCATTCTTCTTTCAATTTTAACTTTCAGAGGCAGATTTTATAAAAACAAAATGTTAACCCTACCCTTGAATCAAAGCACTTTGCTGCTTGGAGACATGCATATAAATCACAAAGATACATACCCTATGATAATGACCATTATTAGATGTTAAATATTCATATAGACAAATTTTTTATTTTTCTTATTTATTAATTCAAATTAAAGTATGGTAAAACTTTTTCTAAATTTATATTCAAAATAAAAAATATGACTTTTTAGTTTTCAAACTATGATTTCAACATTATTTTCTTCATTTTGATTATAAATTTCTGCTAAAGTCATTGGTTCAGAAATATGTTCCATGGCAAAACCTAATTTATTCGACAATAATTTTGCATTATCAACATTCAATTTACCAAATTCATAATCAGCAATTAATCGTCCTTTACGTAATAGAGCTCTATCAATAATTGTTAAATCACAATTAAATGTTGCAATTATTTGCATATGCATTGCATCACCTAATAAACCATCCGATAAATTTAATAAATTAGCAACAGCTTGTGATGCATTTAATGTTATTTCATTTCGATCACGAATTATATTTTCAGCATCTTCAATAATTAATATAGAATTAGGATGTTGTAACAAAAATGGAAGAAATTCTGGCTTTGAAATATCTTTAGCCATATCTGGTGGAATATAAATTAATTTTTTTTCTTGAATTTCTTCTATTAAGTAACGAATGTAATGAGTTTTACCTAAATAAAAAAAAGCCAATATTGTATTTTGTAGGAGAAAATAATTTCAACTTACCACAGCCGGGGATTCCATGTAGTAAAACAATGCCTTTGCCATCTTTTCTATTGCATTCCTTAAGTATTTTTTCATGAATGTTAACAAAATTTTTTCCATAATGTAATGCTAAATCGTAAATCATCGGTTTTTTTATTTGAATTTCTCTTAAATAATATGCAGAATGTTGACGACAAACCATGCTAAGTTTTAAGTATTTAGATTCAAAAACATAGAATTTTAAAAAATCTTTAGCCATATTTTGAACTTTCATATCGTGTTCAGGAAGATAATAGATTGAAATAGATTGTGATACAAGAAAAGAATCATCAGAAAAATCCGGAGAATATTTATTTGGATTTTGAACATCCAAAATTGTATATACATGTTTGAAATAGATCATAATACTATTTTCAAGGTTACAGAGACGAATCCTAATAGAAAAAAAAGAGCAAAAGAATAAATTTCTTAGTTGAAAATTTATTCAAAAAAATATACTTAGCAAAAAATTGTTTTGATTTATTGTGATATTTTTGTACAATAATATCATTAGTTGCATTATGTCCATATTCATTTTTTAAATAGTTCAAAATTGATGATACGTGAAATAAAGCATTTGATTCGGGCTTTGAACACGAGAATACACATGGAAATGCTTTATAATGAGTTAGAAATAATGCAAGAACTGGTATTAATTCCCTATTAACTCTAGTAGTAGAAAATTGTTGAAGAGCTATGGGAGATAATTTAGGAAAATATCCGATATATTCATTTGAAACAATGGACGACATGTCTTCAATCATCTAGCAAGTATAATATTCGTTTATTCATTCAATTTATATGTTATAAAATGTCATGAAATGTTGAAAGAAGAAAGTGTAGATCAGATTGTGCAATTGCTGATTCATTTGTCAGAAAAAAAAAGAATACAACAATAAAAAATCTTTTTACTTTCGGTTCTATTCTTATCAGCGAGTATGCAATGATTCAAAGTGCATGTTTGCAGTGACTTGTTATATATCACGAAAGATTCATGCGATTAATTCTGCACTATTAAAAAGAAGAATATGACATTTATTTCGCTCGTACGGTTTTTTTTCTATTGCATGATTTATTTTATTATTGTTCCATTGGTTAACATAGTGTCGATGTTAAAATTTGCGCCGTTGTTTATATATAGGTAAATGCATCCGATTCATATATGACTCTATTAACTCTGTCACTGTATCCTGATGAACATTCCTTTGAGCTATCGTTTTGATTACATTGCTACAGAGACAACGGTATTAGTTAAAAGAGATGAAAAGACATTTTATGTGCAATAGTGAGTATCATGAACATATTAATCAAATACTATTGCGTATATGGTATGTGTAATTGATATGAATCAAAGGAGAGAATATGTTCAACTGTCGGACGCTGTTTGACTTAATATTATGGCTATGAGTAGAAAAGTTTTAGTGAGAGCAAGGCATACCTCAAAAAATCGAAAACAAAGATTTTTAACCTGCAATTTTTTCTATGGAGAGATTTGATAGCCCTGAAAGTTTCAACCAAAACAATCTTGTCTATCTCAAAATATTCAGTTTCCAATTAGACTCACTTACTGTGCTCTTCTACGATAAACCGATATTTTCTAGATCTTGAATATCTCGAGAAAGATATGGTCATTTTCATTGAAACTTTCAGAACTATAGATCTGTCTATAAACAAATCTTCGAATCAAAACTCTTTAAGTTTTGAATTTTTTATGGGTGTCTTAGCTCTCAGTAAAATTTTCATTAGAATAACCATAATTCTTTATTAATAGATCATGTGCCGAATTCTTTTAAACATTGTATCACTGAGATATATCCATAAACATAATATGAAATCAAACAGCATTTAGCAGTTGAATGTATTTTCTCATGTGTGTTGAGAATAAGATTTGAATCTGTTGGTACGATGATACATTCATGTCAAAAGTTTTCTATGATTTTACGATTCGACTTAGTTTTGAGAATGTTGACACACGATCTTTATAGTTAATATACAAATATCATTGCTAATTGAACAATAACATTCATAAGTTGAACTCATAATAATGTCATAAACAATTGATTAGGTCTTCGTAATATGTCGAATACTCTAAAGTAAATTGAAGTGCTTAATTAAGTCTGTTAACTAACAAATTGTTGAAATATCATTCTCGATGCTGCTGCATGTAGTTAATTTGAGCCTATCTCATAAAGTAATCTACTATACAGTGAATAATACATAAGAAGAATTGCATCATTTTCTATTCGCATCATATTTTTAATTTATAATGAAAATTGTATTTGGCCAAATAAGGATTAGAAAACTTTGAACTAATTTCTATTCAAGAACTAATACTAAGAGTTGTATGAGCAATAACTATTAAATATGCCATTCAGTCAGACTTATGGTTTAAGAATAGCTAAATTATAAACACATGAAACGCAAGCCCATGTAGTCATTGTTAGAATTACTCGATCAAATGAATCATTATCCCAACAACCACCACATAATTCAAGGAATTATGAATAGTAAAAAATATATATCATTTTGCCTACAGCTGAATGACATTAATCAAATATTCTATCATCAGTAGTTGACTAATAAATTAGATAAATCCATGCTTCAATAATAAAATATATGTTGAATTAAAAAGAAATTATAATGATATAACAACATCATATTATGAAGATGTTTGAGTAAGAGACTAAAAATTAAAACAAGATTATCAAATGACCAAAATGTCCTATTTTATATAGAAGCTACAATTAAGTGTCGGTCAGTATTGGAGAATGAAACTTTTTGTTATAGATTTTCTGATACATAAATAGTTGTTATTGCCTCATAAAACTCAGAACCAAGAGATAAACGCAATTCATAGAGATATGACTTTATTAATTTGAGTTATTATTGAAAGAAATTAGATTCATAAATAGGTACTTGCTCGAACTGTGTTTCGAATTTTGAGCATCAAAATTGATTTGACTTGTTACTTTTTCTTGATTAATTTTAGTATCATTTGTCTTACTGTTAAGATTGTTCATTGAGAACCAGAAATGTGCACCGCCCTACCGCCGAGAAAATTCTGGAGCGCGATGACCGAGCAGCCGCGACTTACCACACTAGCTGTTAAATTCTATTCCTAGGAATTTTTAAACATGAACGCGCATCAAATGCTGAAAACTTGCAAGAGTGTTAAATCTATAAAAGAAAAAAAGAATCCTAGTCAATGTGAATTAAACATTATCCTAATAACAAATCAACCTAACTCAAAGTTTAGTCAATTTCATTGTCAGAATAATAATATACATTCACGTTGAACGTAAACTTGCGCAAATTTAACTACAAAATAACTTAAGACAGAAGGGAACACCCTATAAGTATATTATATGCTCGGCTACATCTTGCTTAATTAAATATTTTTTCATGGTATTTCCAACTGTTTGTAGTTATTAGGTAAATGTTAAAAAATGAAGGACTATTGTTTTAAGAAATATTATAGAACAATAAATATAAGGAAAAAAGTTTGCGAAAAAGATTTCTTCCGTTACTGTTAGACGCAACCAGTCCTCTTTCGTTTTTTTATTAATTCAAAATATTGTTATTCACACATTACAAAATCTCGAAAACAAAATTGAGTTCTTCTACACTTGTGGATATGTAAACTGAAAATATTTCATATCATTTTCCGAAATAAATCAATTGTAATCAACAATCATATTAATAAATGTTGATTGTCTATGTATGCCATCTAGACTAACCATGTTAAATGATTGGTTCTATTAAAATGTTACGTTATATGAATGCGTTCTTGTTGTTTAATTCTTTTATCGTTGTCAAGCGAAATATACATGAGAATATCGATGATGAATGTCACAACTTGTTTTGTTCCATATTGATACTTTGTTTAGATGTCCTTATTTATCATGCATTGATGTAAGTGTGATTAAGAATGGCAAAACCAGCTGCTGTATATTGAGAACTTTGAGGTACACAATAGTACAAGATATTACTCAAGCGAGTATTGTATCGAATGACGTATGCCCTGATGACGGACATTTGTTGAGACTTTTACAGATCATTGACATTCACACTCTTTAATATGAATTGTCATTTAGAAACAATTAGTGTATAAGATGTCGTTGATGATCGGGAGAAGAACTAAGTTATGATGATTAGATCGTAATAGAAATTAATATGACCTGATATAAAAATTTATTTATTTTTAAATATTAAATAATTTATTATGACTGCTTTCGTCATAATATTATTTTAGATTTCAAAAACGGGTATCACAAGGTCACAACACAGACAACGGATGACAGATACTTCGCCTGGTAATCAGCAAGTATCATATACAGGGTTCGGTTCATCTGTTGTTGTTATGGAAGAGCATTTACGAAAGTCATTTAAGGCAACAGATGATGAATTAAATTATCTTAAACGTGTATTAGATTTGCGAACCAAAAGACGTCAACCGTTAACATTCGATCGAAGTGGTTACAGTTATCCATCGATTGTTATTGATGATTTTCTTTATCATGGTGATTTATGTCATGCATCAAATATATCTGTACTTAATCAGCTTAATATTCAACATATTATTAATGTATGTGATTATCCATTAGACAGAATAATCATAGAAAAATATAATGTTTTATGGATTAATTTATATGATGAACTTCAAGCTGATATAAAGAAATACTTCGATAAAACAAATGAATTTTTATATAATTGTAAACAAAAAAATGAAAAAGTCTTAGTTCATTGTCAAATGGGAATATCTCGTTCATCAACAATTGTTCTTGCTTATTTAATGAAGTAAAATTTTTTTTTTAAATTTTAAATTTTAACATTATCATTTTATTCTTTAGATATCATCATGATTCACTTTTTAAAGCTTATGATTATTTACTTGAACGCCGTCGTATGGCTGCACCAAATATGTCATTTTTTCTTCAATTGATACGTTATGAAAATGAATTACGTGCAACAAAAGAAATTGATGAAACACAAAATAATGATGATAAACAAAATCCTATTAAAAATCTTGATCCAAAACAAGATTCAGCAATCGAAAATTTCGATAATCAAATGCAATAATACAGCTAATTTGTAGATGCTTCTATTTTTTTAAATTATATTCTTATTTGTACGGTACTAAAAATCAATAGTCGATTTTTAATGATCTTATTTTAAATATAAAATATGTAGTTTATTTTTTCTTTCTATTGAAAGACTGGTGAATTCAATAAACCAAAAAAAAAGAAATTAATTTGCTTATTATTTTAGATGACTGATGATCAAATTGTTTTACTTTCGACAGAAGTCGATGCATTTGTAGAAGCATTAGAACCATTTGAAGTTGAAGATATAGGAAAACCAAGGTATGAAAATATTTCTACAATGAATAGGTTAATACTTTGTTTCTTTTATCTTTTAAGATGGCATACACAACATGAATATATTGAAAAATTAAATATGCAAGCTATTCTTGATGCTAATCGAAATACACATGAATATGTTCGAGAAATTATAGTAAATAATGATAAGGTAAATGACGTATTGATAAACAAAATAGATTTCGTCATAGATTATTAGGAGAAATATATTTGATTAACTAGTATTTTTATTAAATTATTTGTTCTTATTTCTTTATATGTTATTACAACGAAAAATCAATTATATTTTAGAATTAAATTGTAACATTTTGACAAATGATGTTGTCTTCATCAGACACTAATGTAATGTACAGTTTTATATAAGTATGCTTTTTGGTCTTACTATT